AGGATTAGAAACAACACAGAGCTTTACAATCTATTCAAGGAGCCAGATATCATAAGAACCATAAAGCTTGCAAGACTGCGATGGGCGAGGATGCAAAACGATGAAATCCCATAAAAAACTATGGAGAGCAATGAACAAGGCTCTAGGAAAGTAGGAAGACCACGGCTGCGATCGCAGGATTGTGTGGCAAGGGATGCACGTGCACTACTTGGTGTACGTAACTGGAAAGCGGCTGCGCAGGATAGAGACGCCTGGCGGACACGTCTTGAGGAGGCCAAGACTCTTCATAAGTTGTAGTGGCGTGGAAGAAGAAGAAGATTGCAATAAAGAATAGGTACAAGCTGCTTTTCATTGAACCAAATTTTGTTGGTTTTAAATTTGGTTTAAAAAGTTTTCCGTAAACCAAATACTGTTTTTATTTCTGCCGAAAAATTGTGAGGGATTTTTTAAATTTGGTTTTAAAATATTTTCTACGGATTGATAAAAATGCCTTTAAATAATATAAATTATAATTATAATATATTATTATATTACCGAGAATATTTGGAACTTTTGGATTTGAATAGGCTTTGATTATTGATATTGACTTGAATTACTGATTTACTGTTTCGAAACAATTATAATTATATTATATAAATTATATATTAAATATATATAAATATTATGTATTATAATGTTTTTATTGTGACTATTGCGAAACCTTGACTTCCATAAGCCCCCCAAAAAAATTTCAAAACAACCCTCTCCTCTACCCAATTTTATGAAATTAAATTTTGATCCCCCCCTCCCAAAATAAAAAATCCATCACAAAAAAAGATTCTCAAATTTTAACTATACACCCAATAACGACGGGTACATCAGCTAGTATATTATATAATAGTCCCATTAATTAAAAAAATCAACTTTAGTCAAGACATATGATAGGCTAAATAAGTATTAATATAAAACATCAATAAGTAACTAATAGATGGCTAAGAACACAAAAATGAATACTTGACAGTAAAGATGATAAGTTGTTGTTTTTTTTAACACAATTAAAGATATTACAATCATCTAAGCTATTATGTATTTTTCATGACCCTAAAATAAAATGTTTTTGTGACAATTTTTTTATCTTATTTTTTATTTTTATTTTTATGTTTTAAATAAATCCATTTATTAAAGTATTTTTATAAATTACAATTCTGCAACTCTGTAAAATCAAATCATTTCTTCACATTGTTGGAGATGAAAAAGCATAAATGTATACCATCCAAAATACAGTTAAAGTGTGGTGATGATATAGAATCTTTAGCGCAGAAGGTGATTAAATAAAGCTTTATTTGTTTACCATTTCTTTTACTAATAATATTATGGTCATTACCTATGATATTTTTTTTTAGATCTGTTAGGTAAGGCAATAAGATCATTGATTATTTATTACTGCTGCTCAGCATACTTATATTAATTTATATTTCATTTATGAGGAATGGATCAGGGTCAGTACAGCTTTAGAACATACAAGCATAAGAAATTTAATAGAAAGAAAAAGGCTGAGATACAAGTCATTGGGGAAGGAGGAAGCTTATCCTATAAATGCCAAGGGCATAAAAGAGCTTTAATCACATTATACTAAGTTAATCTTTCAATTTAACAGAGAGTAGAAGTGATATTAAGTATAAATTTAGGAATAGCACAGCATACCTTTTAGTTTACTTAACAAATTTATAAATGAACATTATGATTAAGGTGATATACAGAAAAGATCCTAAGGAACTTAGAAGAGCAAGTGAGATAGGTCTTTATAAGAAGAGATGAAAGAAAAAGGCACCAGATTCAGAATATGTGATTGAGGTCTCATTGGACGCTTCATTCATGTTATTCACTGGTAAAATAAAACATGAAGAAGAAAAATTATTCTTTTTTTTATCAATGCTGCCTATTGGTAGGTAGCTCCTTTTCCCCCATTAAATTTATTCATTAGTATATTATCCATATGTTGACATTTATAGGAAATTAAGGATGTGACATGGTTTAGGACTAGATTTATAATTAAAACTAAGCTACCTGGTGGTTGCAAGATGAACCTAACCATAAGTTCTTGTTTCGTCAAGATATTTCACTACTGGGGTATGAACATCCAAAATTATTTGCATTATTAATTCACTTCATTCCTCTGAAAAGTTGGATATTGATAGAGTAGTCAGTGAAGGATTGTTAACTCTCCAAGATTCTACAGGATTGACAACACGAATAAGCCACAAGATAAATGTTAAGGGAGCCTAACCTATCAAGCAACATCCCTACCAATATAATTGGTAATTGGTTGACTGTCGTGGATAATGAAGAGAAGAATAGTTGGGGTGGTCAGTCAAAAAGGAAGGCAAAAATAAATGATAATATTTATTTTTTACATATGCCGACGTTTCGACCTTAAGTTCAGGCCTTCATCAGGGCTAAGAAAATAACCAGATAACAAGGTATGAGAAACATAAGTAATGATGGTAAAAAAGATAATAAAAAAAAATAATGAAAAAAAAAAATTAGAAAAATAAAATAGATAAATATAAAGTAAAATGAAATAGTTAGAATAATGACTAAGAACTAAGAAATAAAAAAAAAAAAAAAAAAACGTTACAAAGTTACGAAGGCCTGAACTTCAGGTCGAAACGTCGGCATATGTAAAAAATAAATATTATCATTTATTTTTGCCTTCCTTTTTGACTGACCACCCCAACTATTTTTCTCTTCTTCATCCCTACCAATACTACGCCAAAGTAGTTGAGGCAACATACCAAGAACTAGATTGGATTTTGGAAGGAGGCTTAGTGGAGCCTTGCCAATCTCCATGGTCGTCTCCGGTGGTCATGGTTTGCAAGGGATCGGATTACCGCTTTTGTATAGATTTCCATAAGATAAATCAAGTTACTTGTAAAGATTCCTATCCCATACCTAAAATGACTTCTCTTTTGGACGGACTTCGTTAGGCTATATACTTATCAAAATTTGACCTCAGGCAGGCATTTTTGAAAGTGCCACTTGCAGACTGATCTAGTAAAGTCATTACTGCATTTACGGTGCCAGGCAGAGGATTATTCAGGTTTAAAGTTATGCTTTAGTCCCAATTGGGCTAACCAACTCACCGGCTACCTTTCAGAGGCTAGCAAATGAATATTTGGACCCGAACTCTACCCGTATGTGGTGTAGTATTTCTTGATGACATTTTGGTCTGCACCCCAACTTTTGAATTGCATTTGGATATGCTTAGGAAAGTGTTCAGTCAACTTAGGGCTTTGCATATCAACCCTGCAAAATGCCAATTTGGCTGTAGTGAAATGAGATACTTGGGCTATCTAATTAATAGGGATGGCATGAGCGTTGATAGGGTAAGATTAGTTCCATTACTTCTATCCCTCCACCCAACAGTAGCTTAGAAGATTTCTGGGAATGGCAGGATGGTACTGATGATCTATAAAAGATTTTTCTTTGGTTGTCTCTCCACTTACATCCTTGCTTAAAGGCAAAGCAAAATGGATTTGGTCAGAAGAGGAAGCCTCTTTTAAAGCTCTAAAATCAGCTCTGACAGAAGCACCAATATTAGCCAAACCAGATTTTGAGCAGCTCTTTCAATTACAGACCAATGCTAGAGATACCGGTCGGTCTTTGAGAGGTCTAAACTCAAATACAAGATGGTGAAGAAAGAGTAATTGCTCTTTCCTCTCGTACAGTAAGTCCGGCTGAAAGAAATTATATTGTGACCGAAAAGGAATGCCTTGCAGTTTTGTTTGGTATTGAAAAAAATTGGCACTACTTAGAGGGTTATTCGTTTTCGGTTATTACTGACCACGCCAGTTTTAAATGGTTACTGAATTTGAAAAACCCTTCGGGATGTTTGGCTAGATGGGCTCTTCGATTGCAACCGTACGATTACAAGGTGGAATACCGCAAGGGTAAACTCAATACAGTGGCCGATGCGTTATTGAGAATTGCCGCAATCACAGTCTTATCTACCAGTCATGATTCGAGTTCTTCTACCAATTAAATTTCTTCAGGAGCCTCCGTACCATCCGACGAATGGTGTGATCAGAAAGTCCAAAAGTCCCCAGAATACATTCTGGATGGTTGATAAAGGACAGACAGTTATACATTCGAAAAAATCCTTTGAAGGGAGAGATTGAGGACCCCAGTAAAGAATGGAAAGTCGTCGTTCCTCGACATCTACGGAGACGTATAATATATGATAATCATAATCTTCCGCAGTCAGTCCACCTTGGGATAGATAAAACCGTTGCTAGGGTTAGTAGGCTATATCATTGGCCTGGACTATACCGTGACGATAGCCAGTACGTGAGTCAATGTGAATTATGCCAGAAAATCAAATCCAGTATCACATCACCTCTGGGATTAATGTACCCTCGCTATAACAAGCAGCCATGGGAGATAGTGTCTGTATCAAGCCTATAATTTCCCTATAGAGAGCAGCCCCGGATGGACTAACTCCTAGCGAAAAAAGTTGTTACAAGGATGCTCTGAAATTGTGAGCAATCCAATGGAGTACATAATATGGAGTCTACAGTAAGTTCTTTAACTCATTACTAGATTCAATCAATAGGTTTAAAATAGAGCATTGAATCTAAGTAATTCAGTCAAACTGAATTAATACTAATTAATTAGATTAAATGCATGACCCATTAGCATATGCAGTAATGTTCCTGTGATCAATTTAACACCAATGTGAGCAGTGATAAAACTCATAAGAGAGACAGCAAATAAGTGATGAAATCTTTTCGATAATTCGATAATAGAAGAAAGAGTCTATTAGTACAGTGTCAAAGTTATGATTAAATTATATATAAAAGGAAGTAAAAGATTACAAAATGATCTACATATAAAAATATTAGAAATGACCTACATATAAAAATATTAAAAATGACCTACATATAAAAATAAACAGATGATCTGCAAAAAAATAAAGAATACTAAATTTATGGTAGCTAATCATAAATAGAAAAAAAAATTACCATTCTCAAAATAAACTGGTTGCTTTTCCAAATCTTCTTTAACACCATCTTCTGTATCAGGATTTTTTTTCATTTTAGCAACCAATGCCTTTTTATCATCATATTCCTGCAAACATATAATAATTTAAAGACTGTAAATTAACATTAAGTTATATTTAACTAGATAACATCATGTCATGTATACATGTTGGAGCTAAGATACAAAATATACAAGATTACTGATTGGAATAATAATAAAAATAAATAAATTGTCCATTACATCATTGGTCTTTGAACCTTGTATTCCATAAAAATGTTACTGAGAACATGATTTTCATGAAATAAAATTTATCTGGAACAATTTTTTTTTCCCAACTCATTCCATCAACTTAGTTTCAAAGCTAATGGGAATTATTGCAACATACTTAAATAGAAATTTCATTTAAATAGTGGGTTCTGGGTTATTTTGAAGAGACCAGTATCATTAATATAGTTGTAAAAGAAAAGATAGTTCACCACAATAGTAAAAAAAGCACTTAAATAATAAAAGGTATGATCAAAGAAATCTGATTTTTTTTTAGAATGTTTTAACTTAATCCAAATTCATAATTTATATGCAGATTAATTTTGCAGGCAGAGGGCATTTAAGCATTGAAATGTGTTATTCTCCATCAAACAATCAGTAAGTGATCCTGATTCAACTTAACCAATAAAACAATACTTGCCTTTTCACATATAGTAATTTTGTAGGTTTTTTTTCAAGGCTAATAATTTTGTAATGTCCTGAATCAAGAGGAAACAGTAGTTTTAAAATGTTCCTTCTCACAGAAAGACATGTTACATATGCTTAGATCCTTGTGAAGAAATATTTTCTATTTTACGATCTAGCAATAGCTGTCCTGAGATGAGATAAAACTAAACAGCTGAAATTACAGGAAGTCGGTAGTGGCAGAAGCTGTCAAATTCAACAGAGGAGTTAAGGGGTGGAAATGGCACATATGATAATAATAAAGGAATGATCTTTTCAAGAAATAGTTTGATTTATAATAATAGCAATTGCTAAAAGAGAGAAGTTTACAGGACAGGAGACTAAAAAGAAATTAGGAATTTTGAAAAGGGAATTGAGAAGAGCAAAAGATCATAAACTTCTTCTCATAATTAGTGATGGATAATTAAAAAACATTAGGAAATCAATATTTCAAAATGTTACTGTTTTAGGAACAAAAGAGGAGATGGATATTAGGTCGATAACATAAAGTCAACGAACAGTAAATTAATTTTTCATTCAATATATTCATTAATGTTATGTTTAAATACCTACATATTATTTTACTACACTATTTTACCTACATTATATTATTACTGTCAGTATTATATTATTATTATTATTTTCTCAATATTTATTTATCTGATCTTTGACTAATTATTTATTATTATTGTTGTTGTAGCCATGAAGAAGGCCTGAAACTTATGCCGAAACATTGGTACAATGAAAGTAAATATAATTTATTTTTGTCTACCTCCATGATTGCAATCCCCAATCAACTTCTCTTCGTATACATTATACGAAAAAAAAAAAAAAAAAAAACAGGTCAAAGGGGATTACCATGCATTAATCCTTTCGAAAAAATTTCACAATTCTCTCTAGGATTAACGATGAAAGTATTATGGATACCTTTTTAGGCCTTTTCAGTGCTGCTAGTGCCGAGCTTTACATCTATCACAGTGCTAAGTGAAACGGCTATCCTACCCGTCTGTGTTACATACTTTTTATCCTCCATTACTAGCCTTTTACTATTACCCATCTTCCTTTTTGATTAGGACTGTGGACCGACACTAGCAAAGTAATTGTTTTTATGCTTAAATATATACTAAGTAATTCAATTTTGTGGGGTATTCTTTGAAACATTTGGTTCAGCAGACAGTCCAAAGGTACCGGGAAACAGGAAACTACATTAAGAGGTCATGATAAGGCCATCCAAGAGTGACTGGCCCAGCTAATAACCACTTCATTGCTATGCAGGCCTTCAGAAACCGCTTCTAGAATTCACTTGAGACTTTTCATCGGATGCATTTTGCTCAGGGTGTGGATATCAGTAAGCACATTGAAGGGAGGAAGGCTTGCTGAACCCAGCCTGTACGCTAGGGTTCCCACCTCCACTTTTGTCTAGAACACGCTGCCTGGACAGAATATAATTTGGCCTCTGTTCTGTTTTCTGATAAGCCCAGGTAAAGCCTTTATAGTGCAGGCGGAGGAGTTTGAGTGTGGAGAATACCAGGTAAGCAATATAGAGGGAAGAGTGCAGCTCGGAGGTGAGTTGGTGGTGGTTTGGGATGGAATATGTTTAGAGACAAGGACAACAGACCTCCATGTGTTCCAAAGACCGATGCTCAATGCTCACACATACATCACAGTTATCCTTGAGGAATAAGTGGTACTTTTTGGCCAGTTTATCGCCCTCTGTTTCATTTTTATAGAGGATAATGCTTGGCCGTACATCTCAAATGTTGTATGAGACTATCTAGACGAGGTTAGAGTCCACAACTATGAATAGCCAGCTCGCAGTTCAGACTTTAATCCTATTAAGCATCTTTAAGACTAGCATTTGGAAATCCATCTGTTGACAACAGAACCCTTCATGTGACCTCCAAGTACATGGATAGAATCAGAGTGAAGATCGGGCAGCCAATTTAATTTTCAGTATACTTACAAGGGCCTTATTCAGGTCATTACAGGTCATTATTCCAGCAAGGGAAGACAACACTAGGTACTAGAGACTCTGATTTTATAATTAAAAAAGAATTAGATGCATTTTATTTTTGTTTAAAAGTATTCATTTGCTTTATTTTACATTAAAGATTTTTTAAATGTTTTTTGTTTTTTCCCTTTATTTGTGGTCACCTACAAACAGAATATGTCACCCTATATTAAAGTAAAAAAATTGCAAATTTTTTTATGTTGGGAAAGATAGTTTAAGGGGCACCTGTTTTTATGGCTACCAGTATAGAAAAAAAAAAGCTATAAAAATTTACCTTAAAACGATCTCTCATTGGCTTGAGAGCATTTTGAAGTTCAGGAGTACAAAGATCATATGCATCAAATTCAAAGGGATACTTCACTTCTTTTAGGATTTTTGCATTTATAGCTTCTTTCTCCTTGTAATAAAATCTAACGAACTGGACGGTAAGGTATGCTGGAAGTCTTTTAATTCTTGACTGTAAACAAAAAATTAATTGTTTAAAATCAATATTCATAATGAGAGACTGGATTTTCATGCAATAAAATCTGAAAAATATGCAGTAAAAAAAATCACAATTAGCAAGATCGTGTAGTAAAAACCTAAAATATTGAAAATTGTGTAATTAACTTCTAAAAACGTGGATAAATCATCTAACTTGTTTTATTACATTAATTAGAGACTGGATTTTCCATGAAATTGTACATTTTATTCGGTTTGATTAGATTTTGATGTATTAATATACTAAATTAAACAAAATAGAAGATTTTTGCACGTTTTTAGTTGTTAATTGTACGATTTTAAATATTTTGGGTTTTTACTAAAAGATTTTCTCCATTTTTACAGTTAATTTGAAATTTTACAGTACAAAAATCTAGTCTCTATTCATAATAAAACAGAAAGCTATCAAGCATTGCAAGAGATACCTTATCATCAAATTTCGAGCAGATCATCAACTTCCAACTTTTATGGAACTATATCTAACAACAAATTTAAAAACCAAATAATACTGGAGCAATATTTGGTAGCCAGAAAATCAGCCAATAAGATCATCAGGAAAACCAAGATTTCATACTAATTTTAAACTATCAAATAAAACTGAAGAGCAGGGAATATGTAAAAATTCTATGCATACATGGTCACCACCGCATTTAAGTTATTAATGTGAAAACCATATGTAATAAATTAATTACTTTTATTTATTAATTAAAATAAAAGAAGTATTTTTGTGAAATAGAATCTTATGAATACAAATTTAGAACTCAAACAAGTTAAAAGACCCAGAGGCAGCAACCAGTCAACACTTTTCTTGTACGTATTTCTCTCTTTTTATCATATCCATACTTCATTATTTTTTGTCTGTACAAGATTATTTGGCCAGAATTACGATAAATGTATCCCTTTCCTAAAAGAGAAATTCCGTGAGACCTTCGGAGAGAGAAAGTTCACCATGAGAGGCCTCCGATTTGGGTCTCGCGGAACAATTCCAAAAAGAACAAGGAGCTTCCTCGAGGAACTAGGTATCGACATTAAGGACGTAGCGAGGTTGGCTGAAAATATAGTCCTCGACTCCCTGGGAATCATTCACCACCACATGCATGGCTAGGCTGAGAGTTTTAATTTATGTATTTATTTAATGGAAAATTGAAAAAACAATAGATAAAGAGAGAGAAGTGAGAGAAAGGGAAATTAAATGTTAAAAAAAAAAAAGGATATACAAAAATAAAATAATAATAATACATATATATATATGTGTATATGTATATATATATATATGTGTATATAAAAAATATTGTATACTATGCTCATACATATTGTTAATCCTATATAATTATATATTATTTTAAAAATTGTCTGTAGTTATTAATAAGTATGCTGTGTTTTTAGCAATCCAATGTAATTGGGCAGCACCATTTTATGATAATAAAGTGATTCTCTCTCTCAGCTGTTCGGTTTACCTTCCTCCTATGCAATTAAGGGATCTCCTTATAAAGAGACTAGGTATGCTCCACGAGGGTCTGTCTCTGGACCCACCGATAAAATAAATAATTATTTGCCCCAACTGGACTCAAATCCCGGCTTGGGAGGTATGGAGTCCAATGCATTGCCTACTAAGTAACCCTCATCCCATATAAATAAATATAGAAGACAAAAATAGAAAAAAAGAAAAAACAGCATGAGATAAAAATTTATTATAAAATATTGGTTTTTGTAATATAAAAAAAAAAAATAAAAACTAATTGATTATGAAATTACTGATCCTCCACAATGACCAGGAATTCAATTATCAATATTGAGTACAATTACTCAAAAATATTAAAACTGTATCCAGCTGCTAGCTTCATTAAGCAATGTTGATGAGGAAAAAATATGATAAATTTTTTCATAAGCAGCAATTAAACAAATGGTTAAATGTAAAAAAATCTGAAACAATAGGTGGAAATAATAACAATAAAAAGTAATTGAAAATATTAACTTACTGTTCTGGTAAAAATGGCATCACGATCAAGAACCTTTGAATGTTTTGTAATCTTTTCTTGTAATTTCTGAAAAAAAAAATAGAAATCGAAGTAATATATTGTTTAAATAATTTGCATAATGAATGCAATGTATATTAAATTTATTCATCAGACATATATAAAAAATAATCAGAAGATAAATGAAATATTCTCAGTTCACCACGTTAGCTGCGGTTATGATCCCCGGGGTCCGATATTCCTCTCGACTACCAAACAGCCGGGATTGTTTTGAATTTTGCACGAAGTATCTAAAATGGTCATTTTTAAAAATATTTGAATGAGAGTTGGATAGGTGAAAAGATAGAAACATAAATAATCATTATATCTGATATAAAGCTGTAGAGCGCCGGGGTCCGATACTGTACCAGACTGATAAAAAATTATTTCCCTACGTTACCACCCCCTCCCCAGCTGGCACTGCCGTGACGGTACAGTGCACATGCATGGTGATTGAGATAATGTTTGGAATGTCGGTGGTCAAATCTTGGATCATCTTTTTTAACATGAAAAAAGAAAAAGCCATATCAATAACAAAGGTCCGATCGGTTTTCTCTTACGCTACTCAGACTACTCACAAGTCAGCGCTGACCACCGTCACCATGTCTGATGCATCATGTCCATTCTTCAGGTGAGGGAAGAAACAGCGAAAGCAGTGCAGAGAATGCTACAGGGAACTGCGAAAGACCATAGGAAGTAAGGAGGCAAATAAGAAAACACGGAAAGTCACTGGTTTCTGTGAGTACTGTGGTATCACAAGAAGTTCGAAAACTTAATACTTCACTTTCAGTTTTCCTTTTCTTAAAATAAATTCTAATGTAATAGTGAATACCCAAATACCTGTATTTTTTTTAACATTGCCACAATATGGTACTTATTATGTAACTTCGATTATTTATATTCCATTTTTATCTTGACATTGAAAAGTATTACACAAATAATGTACAAAATATATCATGAAAATTATAAATACATGTAATAAATAAACTTTTTCTCATTTAATTTTCAATATTTAAGAAATATATCCCTAAAAATAACACTTTTTTACTGAAATAAAGAGAAATAATAAAAAAACTCGCCATATAAACGGCATCGGACGTTGGAGTCCACTCCTACGATTGCTGGCCATTAATAAAGACAATAAACAGATAGAGACACTGAATAGAGAATTTAGTTCACCTTTGATGTCAAAAAATAGCGGTATACCTCGAAACTGATGTATGCCTCCAACGTCCGATGCCGTTAGAAACTTCATAACTAGTGTCATTTGCCAGGGAAATTGTCAGAAAAGACATTAAAGAGATATCATGATCAGCTGCTAACATATTAAAGAATACAATATTCGATCATACTATAATATAATAATTAAATTGTTAAAAAATTACTTTAACAAACTTTTGTTGAACTAGAAATATAAAAAGAATTGACCCTTATGACTACTGAGGTCTCGTCTATAACGACACACCGAGCCTGATCTCTTACTTTGCACTAAACTAAGGAATTGATTTGTCAATTCTCTTAGCCTAGACCCTCACATATTTAGGTCTCAGAATGCTGACGTTTTTATATTATCTCATTTTTAAAACAATCATCATTGATTTTTTTTTAATTATACACTTGACAAATATTAAAATTTGTATATTCTTTTCAAATAAAATAGTAATTCTCTTAATATCTAATTTTTGTGCTACTACAGTCTTATTTTGATGTTCAAGTTATTATTTTCATTATACTAATACGATCCTATATATTGTTTAAATTTATTATTATACTGTGATATAATTATTTATATTGTAGTTGTTAATTGGAGAAAGTTTTTTAAACTTTTAATTTTACTAAATTATAATTGCTGATATTGATCAAAAAATGTTAATCCAATGGAAATTTTGTTAGGGAACACTAACAACACACAAGGTTTTGCCATATTAAATTATTTTTACAAACAAATTTAGATTATTTTACTTTTAAGGTAAAAAAAAAAAAAAAAAAAAAAAGGAACATGGGTAAAAATGAGTCAGGTGAAAAATAATTAAATTTTTTAAGCTGTTGCAGTACTAAGAAAGTTTTGTAAAAATAATCATGGTACTTATCTAATAGTGGGTAGCGTCCAACTGCTATCTGCCAATGTTTATAACCTTAACACTGATAAGCTCTTCTTATTCATATTTATTCAGCAAACATCCATTGCTCAGGTAGGACTCTCCCAACATGATTTTTTCTTTTCGAAAAGAAAATGTCATTGGCACAAACTTCTCTTAAAAATTTGTTCCATGCTACGACAGTTCCAATGGATAGTTGCTCTTTCTCCCACTTTATTGTAGTTAAATTATGCGACCACCAATAAATGAATTTTAAAGCCGTTAAAAAAGAAATCCTCGACCCCTCTAACCACGTTCCTTTCCTTATAGAAACGGTTTTGTTACACCTACGAAAGCATCTCCATTTAATCTTCCCGTCGAACTTGATTTTATGACCCTCATCACAATATTTCACCTTATCAAATATACCGGCATCTTGAAAATATTTGATAGCCTCTTCTTCTGAAGACGGCAATTCCCATAATGTGACAAGATCCATACTTAAATAAACTCACACCTGGCACAAGAAACAAAAACTAATCACAGAATAACTTAAGTTAGATGAGATAACAAGGGAGGTTTTGACGCTATCCACTACTAGATAAGTACCATAATCATTTAAAGGATTGTTTAATTAATTAAACAAAAAATAATTAATAGAAACAAAATCTTATATATCACCAGAACATTGCAAATGCAAATTTAGCATACATTTAAAATCTTATTTTACAAATCACTTAAATTTAGTAATAAACTACTTGATTTCAATGCACAAAATATATCGATAGCCAATCTCACAGAAGTTATAGGCCAAATTTTAGAGTTAAAAGTAAAAAATATTTAAGATTTTACCATATATTAGAACTCCTTATATAATTCTCATTGGTTCTATGTATATTAATTTAGTTTTAAATATATTTGATATAAGAGCCAGAAAGAGTGAGAAGGGCTGTGGAAAAAAAAAGTCCCACATGGAAGCCAATACAAGATGTCTCAATACATTTGAAAGCCATAGGAGAGATCCAAAAGATGTGAAAATGGGTTCCACATGAACTGACAGAAAGAAAGCAAGGATTGTTGAACAACGATATTGAAGCATGCAGTTAGAATATATTAGCGCATACGACCTATTCACCACTCCCTTTGAGTATTATTTATTTTTATCAATGGGACATGTACTGGTGGTTGAGCAGCATTTTACTTTTTATGAAAATGTACAAAAATGGCTTGATGACTTATTTGCAACAAAAGAGCACAGTTCTTCTATCATGAAATTCGTAAATTGCCAGAGATGTGGAAAATGTTTAGCTAGCGATGGACTTTATTTCAAATAAAATATTTGTTAAAATTATTATGCAATAAACGTATATTTGCAACATTTTTGCAAAAAGATTGAACAAGGCAGTTTGTAGTAAATTAGGAAAAGTCTGGCTATCATAGCAGCCAAAGCAAAGAATAAGTAAAACTGAATAATTTTCAGAAATACTGGGTAGAATTCAACACAATGAATTTTTGAGCTAAAAACCTCAGGATTTAAAAACAAATCGCTTTGTTTTATCAGAAATGTAAGGAGCCTAAAACAATAACAGTACTTAACTTATTATTTTTGCCTTCCGTGTTTTGCTATCTCACATCATATAAGAGTTAAAGGTGAGTTACTATTGAGCTTTTATTGTTCCTCCAACAATAAAGCACTTATCTTGATATAAGATTAATAGTGTGTTTATCAGTAAAATCATTTATAGCACCAATTTTATGGTTTCTAACAAAAGATAAAGAAATATAACGATATAAATAAATACTTATCACAGTTAAGATAAATCACAAAGAATTGAAAATAAAAATATCACTGATAAACAGAAAAAAAGAACAACATAACAGCATAAATTTTGTGATAGAAATGGGAGCAAAGAAATAAACTTTTCAAAAAAGCTGATCTTCTAGTGAAGGCCAAAATGTGAATGCCTTGCAGCATCAGTATTCTATCAATGTATAGTTGCGGACAATTGGAGGTCAAAAGCTATGACCTATCTTGCCAAGACAGATAAAAAATTAGGTACATATTTCAGGCATCAAATGTTATTTGACTTTCAACCTTTTAAAAATTAGACTAGTTATGCAAATTTGTGTATAAGAAAAACAGATTTGGGATATGAAGGTGCATGTTGGTGGTACAAAGTTACTTCTTATTCAATTATTAACATTTCCTCCAGGAATACTCAGTGTATCATACATATTGGTTTCTTGAAAAAAAAACAACAAAAAAACAATATATATATATATATATATATATATGTGTGTGTGTGTGTGTGTGTGTGTATTTCCATGAACATAAATATTGAAATTTTTCATCTAACTAAACAAAAATAATATGGAAGTTCAATATACAGAGGTTTAACTGTATATGAAATGCAAAATGGGATTTTAAAATTATAATGAAAAACAGAGTTACAATAATTACTAAACTGAGACAATGTTTATAACATGAAACAGGTAAATTAAATTGTATATACAAATCTTAAAAATCATTAAAATTGCAGGTTTATTCAAAGGATCACCACGCTAAATAGTTGATCAGCAGTGATTAGTACTTATTACTATTACTTATTGGAGGAATAGTTTTATATTCCACCAAACAATTTCTGTCTAACTTAATTTTTTTTCAGATAAGTTTCTTAAATAAGTATTTTGATTTTTACCAGAGTTTGAGGATAATTTCCCAAAATCAATCTCTATGTAAAGCCATTTTGATTGGCCATATCTTTGTTTTAAGATCTAAAATAGTACATGTTCCAAATTTATATTCTATGGTTAGATGAGTATTGAGATTAGTAAAGATGATTTCTTCAAACCTTACCAGACTACAGTAAAAACAAAGAATCAATGTCATGCATATCAACACAAACTGACATAATAATGCCTACAGACCTTATCAACTTCAGAATTCTAAGTTCCCAAAGACTGAAGGAAATTAAATATCCACTCTAACAGCTAAGGAATTTTAACATGGAAAATATTAATATGGTATCAAAGGGACACATAGGCAAATAGACAAGTGACTGGGCCAATCTATATCATAAAGAATACATAATATAATAACTCTATGTTTTTTATTGTTATATCCAAAACAATGTTAATTAGTTAGAAGATGGTAGTATACCATAATCTTCAAAACGATCTTGTCACACAAAAAACTGTTTTTTCTCCAAACATTGAGGCCAAGCAAGCAGTAATCCAGACAGATGACCAAAAATAGATCCCAACTCCTAAAAAAAGAAAGAGGTATTAAAGACCTATTTCTTTTTATCACTGCCAATGAACAACCAATTAAGGCGAGATCCAAGTAAGATATTTGGTCACCAGCAAATATTAAATAAAAAATTACAGATATAATAAAGCTTTATTAGAAAGAGAAAAAAAGACTAAATCCGAAATTTTCACCAATCTAAAACATTTTTAAAGAGAAATACGTTTTTTACTGATATTTTACAAAAAAAAAAAAATTAATTATTTACTGTTAATTAATTTTTTGTCTGCTAAAGTTTTAGCTCCTTAGTCTATGATAAATAATATATATATTGATTTTGTATTAGAAAGGGTATTAAATTTTAAGAGAAAACTGAAAACATAAGAATAACTTAAAGTATACTAACAATAACTATAACCCCTTTCCTCTCCTTTTCAAATAAGAAATAGACCTCAAAAAGATATGATCACCATAAAAACTAATACAATCAGTCAACTATAATAAAAAAAAAAGTAAAGTATGAAAATTAAGTTAACAATGAAAGTAAATCCTAGAAATCACCCACCTTTAACCAATAGGTGACCAGAATATACAGTTTCAGTAGGTACAGTCATCTGTAACCATCACAATAGCTTCTCATAATTATACAAAACAGATTTAAAAACATTTAATAGTAGTTCCATTTTCAAGCAAACGAAGTCAAACTATTGCTACCATATGAATTATTAGCTCAGAAAATTTTTATTTTTTGGCCATTAAGAACAAAATCTGATTTTTACAGAAATATGAAATATCAAATCACAAATCATCATTTGACAATTGATTGATTGAACAGGAACAAATCCCAGATTTCAGTCACAGAATCAATGAAACCATTGTGAATAACTTATTGATTTCTATATTACCTATAGGTTATTTATATTATTTTAAGAAAAACATATTCTCGTTAATACGAAGATACACATACTATACCATATAGTATGGATATATATGAAACCAAGAGCCAAGAAAAAATATAACTAACCGATAACAATCCTGTATGCATATGTTTAACGTCTTGAGAGATAAAACAACTCAGCTGCAAAAAATTTTCCTCAGACTTTGAAACAGGCTCATTTCCAGCTTCATCACATTTCAATTCAACGTCAAATACACCACCAAAAAATTGATCTACAAAATACCTGTCAAGATCAAATATTAAAATTGTTAATTTTAATTAATTATAAGGAAACTCATAATAACTTTTTAAGGAACCTACTTATTAGAAGACGGTTTATCACTATTCACAGATTCAAGTTTCTGTTGCAACATACGCACAATCTCTGTCCAACATTCATTAGCATCCTATTAACAAGAAAAGAAAACTATAATAATCAATACTAAATGAAAACTCTTAAAACTAATAAATAAAATGTTAAATAAAGAATAGCACACACATGCAAGACCTTCGATTTATTTTTTAGGTTATTTTATATACAAACCAAATAAATAAAAATGTAAAGAATTTTATAAATAGTTCTGACAGAAAAAAAAAAAAAAAATACCAACCGGTTTCCACCATTTTGAATGAGTCAAATTTAAAAAATAAAATAAAATAAAATGGTTTTTGATGTGCATCTGACAAATGAATACAATTACTTCTAGATGACAAAGTTTTTTTTATAACTCTGGCTAGACTATTTTTTCAAGAAAAGATTTGTAAATAAGTCAATTTTTTATTATTTTTTTAAAACAAAATACGACAATTTTGATGACCTACAAAATTTGATTGCAACAAATCTAAGATGGCAGACGTTCTTATTTACTGTCTATGCTGAGAATACTTTCAACCTACACTAGTTCAGTCAATGGATGCCAAAAGGGAGCATGTAGAATGCATGGAAAGGGAGAAGCATTTGACTTAAAATTTGTTGTGGTTCTTAATAAGTAAAGATACTAATAGTCCCTGTCCCTACCCCTGCCGCTTCATATTTATTGGGGAGTGCTGTAAAGATGCTTTTTTTTTTCAAGCTGTGCTATTACCAGGTGTGTAAATATGTAACTTAGAATTCGTCCATTGATGGCCCTTGTTGTTAAAGTAGTTGCCTTCAACGGCATTATTGGATCAATTTTAATTCTTCCACATTTGGCAAAGATTTTCAACTAACAACAATACAAGTTTCATTGAACGATAAATAAGGTCAAAATTCAGAAAAAAACTTGCTTAAAAAATCAAATCCATCAAAAATGTACTTAATGATTTTTCCAATAAACAAACAAAACAACTTCTTAATGACAATCAGAAATTGTTTTATCAAAGTCAGCTGAAACAGGCCTTATAAATTGATTTCCTGGACTCAGATTGTCATAAATCATAATTTACTATAGCAAATATGAGATTACTGCACTCGTAGTTTAACATTTTACATATATAAGAATTTAAAAACACATTATCATTATATACTTTACCAACATAAAGTATATACCTTTCATGGGTAAATAGTCAATATCCCAGATTTTCACATTCATAAAATTTAGCAGAATAATTATAACTGCTGTAACTTTAGACCCATTGAAGATTATATATACCCATTGAATTATAATATACACAGTGTCCCGTAGAGGAGTAGAGGGAAATATTTTTAAGGTTGATAGTAGACATCAACATCAACAAAAAAGTTAAATATTAACAAATGCCCAATTTCCAGCAGAAAAGTAGGAAATTTAAGATTTGTGTTTTTTAAAAGTCTCATTTTTTGTTTAATAGGAAACGATAACTAAAAAAATATTTGATTTAAGTAATTAAACATTGATCCATAGTAAACTAGAAAAATTTACTTCAAGCAAAAGTAAAGGTTGTCATTATTAAAACTATTTAAAGAGGACTATTGAGCAGACAAATTCAGCTAAGTTTTGTTTAAAAAAAATATAATAAATTAGTAGTGATTTTTTTATCATCCTTCAACTGTACTTCAGTTACCCACCTTTAAAAAACTGCCTCCTTTAATAAGCTAAAAGTCCATAAAAACTAAGTAGAGGTTACTAGGGAAAATTTTGAGATTCACCTCATGTGTAAAGAAATTATGTGATTTCCTGTTGTCACCTAAAAGAACCCATGTTTTCTGCAAAAATGACTACAATTGACAGTTACAAAGCTTTTACTTCTTGTTTTTCCCTGATATGGGGTGTATTGTAATACAAATAATTGCCTAAAAACAAATTTTATTTATAAAAATAAAAAAATTCAAAATAATGACTCAAATATTTTTTACGTAAAGTTCTCATAAAATTGTGTTTTTCTCTCTGATTCCCATCATAGGAATCGAAAATGTATTTATCAGTGGCAGACTTAATGTTTCATACTAAAATTTACGTTTAAAATAAAGAAACCTACTGATTGCTTTATTATTATTTTTTTCATAAAAACGTAAATATTAGTGCTAGAAACATTAAGTTTATCACCTACAAATATACGTCAATTGCTATGACAGCAATATGGAAGAAAAATGCAATTTCATAACTATCTTACATGAAAAATATTTTGCTGAAAACACAGGAACTTTTAAGTGACTGGATGGAAAATCATATCATTTTTTTACACAACTTAAGGTGGATCTCAAAATTTACCCTAATAAACCTTAAGTCAATTTTAATGGACTTAAAACTTACTAAACGAGGAAGTTTTTCTAAAAGTGGGGTAACTGTAGTACAATTTAAGGGTGATAAAAAATAATTTATGACTTTTTTTTAACGAAACTTAGCAACGTTTGTCGGCTCAATAGTACTCGCTAAATGATATTGAATATTTAATAGTTGACCGTTACATTATAAAAGAAGGAGATGGTCCGGGGTTGCGGTCATAAAAAGGCTAAATAGTGGTAAAACTATTTCATTGAAAGCCAACGTTCGACCCGACTTTGCAGGTCTTCATCAGGGAGGTGTGTTAATCTAGGAGTTTGACTTAGAACTGGAACAGTTCCTCCTTCCTTTACTCTTTAAATGGTTTTAACAACGGCAACCTTTACTTTCATTTGAAGTAAATTTTGTCTAGTTTACTATGGATCAATATTTAATTTCTTAAATCAAGTATTTGTTTAGTCATTGCCTCCTATTCAACAAAAAACGTGATGCACTTAAAAAAACACAAATCTTAAAATTTCCTATTTTTCAGCTGGAAATAGGGCAGTTGTTTATATGAATTTTTTTTTGTAGATCTTGATGTCTACTATCAACCTTTTAAATATTTCCTTATACTTACGGGACAACCTGTATATATATATATATATATATATATATATATATATATATATATATATATATTAAAGCTCGATAAGAAGGTAGGAAGAAATTAAAAATTGTTAGTTAAGGCATATAGGAACATGTGTTTTTATGCCAATGATGGCTATTTGTTTTTTCCAGCTCTGAAGAGGACCCCATTCTATGTACAAGAAAAGAGGGATAACAACTAAAAGGAATAAACTCCAAATTTATGTAGTTTATTAAAATTTTGAAGGACCTAACTCCTGAAAATAATAATTATTTTCACAATATATATATATATATATATATATATATATATATATACACACACACACACACTTGTGATGAAAATGAAATCATCTACAGCTTTCTTTCAGTCGATTTTTCTATAGAATGAAAGGCTGAGGAGCTTTTAGTATGTTTACTTATTAAGTACCCCGTCTGGACTACCAGGCAGACCAAAGACTTACTTCAAATTGGACACCTTTTTTTTTTTTTGCCTCAGCTCTTGGTCTAAAAAAGTTGGGATTCTCTATACCAAAGTGAGAATGAAAGAAGATAAACTCGCTGGGCTTCTTTCACAGTCAGTTTTCTATAACAGTCATGCTTGTTTCTAAATCATTAATAGGAATGTACTTAAAATGTGTTTTTGTGTATTTTAAGAAGTTATATAAACAATTTTATAAACAATGACAAGAAGTTTTATAAACAATGGCCTGATTTTCAACAGGAGAGTAGGATTTTAAAGTTTTGTATTTTTTTAAGTAAGATACGTTTTTTGTTGAATAGAAAGCAATAACTAAAAAGGTATTTAATTTAGGTAATTAAAAACTGTTTCATAGTTAACTAGATGAAATTTCCTTTAACTACAAGTAGAGTTCGTCATTAAAAAATCTATAGAGGACTTTTGAGCAGATAAAGTAAGCAAAGTTCTGTTTTAAAAAAAAAATCATGAATTATATGCGATTTTTTTATCATCTTCCAACTATACCACAAATACCCTCATAGAAAAACATCCTTATTTAATAAGCGTTAAGTCCATATTAATTAAGTTGAGGTTTAAAAGGGCAAAATTTGAGATTCACCTCAAGTTGTGTATAAAAAAATTGTGATTTGATATCCTGTCACCTAAAAGTACCCATGTTTTCAGCATAAATTATTGAATTTTTTTTAAAAATTATTTTGGATGTATTATATAAACAAAAATACATATATAAACTTTTTATTTAAAAAAACAAACAGAAAAAAAAGTTAAAAATGTTTTACACCCAGATCACTATTGTAGGAATTGATCCATATTTAAATATAATAAGTAATAATTATGTGTACATACATCAATTATTGACACTTTCAACACATTTTCCTAATACCTTATTTATTAATTACCTATCATTATATTGCAAAGGTTTTCATGCAAGGACAAGTCTGCCTTACATAAATTTTTGTCAAAATACAAAGAGGTTTTTATTTTTTGAGAAAAAATCATTGACATCAGTTAACAGTCTTCGAAAGTAACAGTCATTGACATTATATTCACTCATTAAAGGATTTAATTTTTTATTTTCATTCAAATTTGTATCTTAGAACAAAATTGAAAAAATACATACATAGGAAAGTGAAATCAATAAGTTAATATAAATACGAATAAAATTACATAGATAAATATTTTTAAAAAATCATAGTTTTAACATAGAAAAATAACTCGTTAAAAAAAATTAAAAATGCTTACTTGCTGAACAAAAGTACCATTTTCATTTTTTTCAGCAAACCTAGGAAAAATCATCTGTAGAACTTGTAACAGCATAATAGGGGGAATAGACAAACCTTTGTCCATCAACTCATACAAATCTCGTAAAGCAGCTGTCACTGTGTGAGCAGATATACCTGACATACCTAATAACAACAGAAACCAAAATAAATATAATTTAGATACTAACCATAGAACTATTTTTCAAGGATAATTTCTAATTCTATCACATTAAGTGTTTTCAAGGAAATAATTACCCTTTGACATTATCCATTTATTCAAGTCATTAACAAAGTTTCGAACCTCATTGGTTCATTTCATTATCTAGTAATCTTTATGTTTTTACATTTTCTTAATCAATTATCTCTTGCTAACAGACTGAACATAAAAAAAAACAATTCATGACAAAAATTATTTTTTATGTTTGGACTGTTAGTAAGAGAAAACTTAGTATCACAAATCTATGAAGAAAGCCAAAAGACGGTCATGAAGGAACTTCTGCCGAGAAATTGATAATACTCCTATGGCAAGTAGGATAAAAAAAATACATACTAAATAGAAAGACTAAGGAATACTGGGTACACTCAGAGTCAATGGCAAACATACTAATAATGAGCTGGAAACACTGAGAGAACTGGCAATAGCACATGTTCTTGGATGTATGACTATGGAAAAGGCTTGTACTTGTACAGACACTACACTCCCTAGCTATACAGCTATTTGAGAGGTGTGGACTAAGGCTAGAAAAATTGTTATGGCAAGCAGACTGGAATGGGCAGTAAACACACTGTCTCCCTACAAATAGGTAGGTTTGGATGACATCATACCAATACTGATTCAAAAAGGACTTTCAATAATTAAACCCTATCTCTTAGAGCTATTTTATTATTTTATTCCTGTACTACTACAACCCATGATGGGTCTTGCGTTCAGTCCTATTCAGAAAAAGTACTGTTTCTAGGTCAACGGTTGTGTAAGAAGGTGATATGACCGAGATCATGCTCAACCGCCAGTTAGCTTTTCCCCTTAATTAATTATTTAATTAAGGGTACCAACTTTATAGGGCCTGGGTGTGCCCCAGGAGGGTCTCCTGACCCAGGGTCATCCCACAGCCAATGAAACAAACAAATAAATTTTCTGCTATCAACCGGGGTTCGAACCTGAGACCTTTAGCATTGGAAGTTCAGTACCCTGCCACTGAACTACCCCACTCCTTTAGAGCTATTAAGGGGCATTATAGAGTTTAGATACCTTCCAACAGAATGAAGAGGATCCAAACTGTGATCCTAAGTCATTCAGGCCAATATGCATGTCATCTTTTTTAATGAAGACAGAATATTTTTTTTATATAAATAATTTAAAAAATATATTTTTTTTAATAAATAAGATTACACAAAAATGTCTGCATTCACTTCTGTAAATTTAAGCGTATTAATTTTAATAAACGTGAATACTGCCGTATTCACTTTTACAAGTGTAAATACAAAGGCTCGGGAATTTATATTACGTGCAAACATTACGAATGATAATTAACATAACATAGTGTAAAAGGAAGAATATAATATTATATATAAAAATAAAATGATATATATAGTAAATCTATCTAAGTAAATATATATTTTTTAAATAAATAAGAGTATTCATTAATAAAGTTGTGTGGAAATATTTCTATTGACCTCTGTAAATTTAAGGCTATTCATTTTAGTAAACATGAATAATGCCGTATTCACTATTACACGTATAAATACAGCCGTATTCACTTTTACAATCGAGAATACGGCCATATTTATATTTACAGTCTTGAATATGTGATAATTAACATAACACAATAAATTGTAACATAATTAACATAACTTATTGTAAAAGGAAGAATATAATACTATTTATAAAAATAAAATGATATATGTATAGCAAATCTATTTTTTTAATAAATAAGAGTATTCATTAATAAGATTTTGTGAAAATATTTCCATTCACTTCTGTAAATTTAAACATATTCATTTTAGTAAATGTGATTACTGCCATATTCACTTTTACAGGTGTAAATACAGCCATATTCACTTTTATAATCGTGAATACGGCCGTATTTATATTTACAGCTGTGAATACGTATCTTCTGTATTCATATTTCTTTTTATGAATATAAATATATTCATATTTATATTCATTAGTACCATAAATATAAATGGTATTCGTATTTATATTTTTGAATATAAATATGCCCATCTCTGGAAAAAACTATATTTATGAGGTTAGAAAGGAAAACCGACAGTGTTAAGGCTTCATGGTGTAAAAATAGAACAGGTGAGCGACTATAAGTATCTTGGATCTCACCTGAATGAGTATGGATGGGTCGATGGCGAGATAAAGGAAAGAATAAGAACAGTGGGAAGATGCTTCAATTCCCTGAAGACTGGCTTCCTGGGAAATAAATGAATATTAAAACATAACAAGAAAGTGGTATATAAAAATACATTTCTTCCGATTCTGACATATATAAGCGAATATTGGACCCTAACAACTAAACACAAGAGTCAGATCTAAGCAATGGAAATGAGGTACCTTAGGAAGGTCGAGGGAAAGATAAGATGGGACCAGATGAGCCTCAATATGACACCAATCAAGGAAATATTGGAAGAACATTGCTTGAGGTGGTTCGGATACATGTCTCGGATGTCTGAGAATGGCATTGCCAGAACTACCTTCGAAGCTATCTCAGAAGAATATAGATTCCTATGGAAGACTTGGAATAAAGGAGCCTTTGACAGGAGAGATCTGGAGTGGAGGAAGAGGATATAGCTGGTACAGGATAGGAATTTATGGACCAGGCTCTTTCAGAAGGCACCTCAAGCGCTGTGGTAGAAGAGGAAAGATCAAGAAGAAGAAGACTTACATTCTTCAAGGAAAAACCTGTTCACTGAATGAGGTCCAAACTTGAGTTGAAAACTTAGACCGTTCAAAACTTAAAGGTTGTTTTTGCAAAGTAATCCAACAGCTAGGTGGCAACTAACCATAAACCCATGGTTCATGATTTGATTATTAAAAAAAAATTATAAGAATAAAACTGTTTTTAATTCGCAAGAAAAAAGATAATTTGTATGGTATTCCATGACTACTGTATAATTACAATCATAAGAAATAAGTTAAATGCAACTTTATTATTTTTTTTTTTTTGGGGGGGGAGGAGGGGGAAAAATACAAACTTTAAAAGAAAAAACAGATTTCTTTATTTTCATTTGAACAACATTCCTTTCTTTTTTTCTCTGAATACTAGTCTGATATTCTAACGAAAATTATTGTTTTTTCCAATGGAACAGTACACTTTTTTCAGTATGTATCACCTCTCTAATGGTATGTTCTATTGCGAAATTAAAGAGGACAGGTGGAAGATATCATCTTGTTTTAAACCCGAATGAACCTAAAACTTCTCAACAAATTTAACTCCATTAAATGTTTCAGTCACACATGCCTTAACTAGATTTACTAACATTTTTGGAATCCTTTGCTCATTTAAAATATTTTACAGCTTCTGACGGACAATGGAATCATAAGTCTTTTTGAAATTGATATAGAGCTGATGAACAACCGTGTTGTACTATATTTTGTTCTATGATATTTGCCATACCAGTCATAATGGATCCCATATTTATACTTTTGTACATGTCTCTAACCTTATTTTTATATAATTTCATTTTTTAAGACTCAGAAGTGGGCCAGAATGTTTTCACTAGGATTTTTAAGAATTTTTCACTATGTTTTCACAATCTTCATCGAACAAGGGTTTGTTTGTTTATTTTCCTTTTTATCAAGAAATGAGGGTACTTGTGACTAAGCCGGTCGCCACGGACTGCTATCCGCTAATGTTTATAACCTGAACTCTGATACTGTTAATAAATTCATATTTATGGAAATTGAAATAGACAAAAAAAAAATGTAATAATAACAAAACACTTTTATTTTACCAAAAAAACATACACACACACAAAACAATTTTATTTATTTTGAGAGACAAAATACAACATATATAACACTATATATATATATATATATATATATATATATATATATATATATATATATATATATATATATATATATATATACACAACATATTTAAGTAAATACTTTATATATAAATATAATACACTTTTATTTGACAACATTTTATTTACTTACAAGACAAAATAGGTTAATGCTACTTAAAATAAAACATATAGTCTTTTATTTTTACCATGAAACACTTGTCTGTTTCCCCATTTCATGACCTTCTTCACACAATTTCATCTTTGGAATCAGCTTCTTTTTCTGAAGACGGCAATTCTCAAAGTGTTATTGTATCCATTTTAAACAGAAAATTAAAAAAATTAACAAAAAAAAATTAAAACAATTGAATAACGCACAAGTAACGGAAAGATAACAAGAGAAGGGAGCTTCTGTGGCGACCGGGTAAGTCACAAGTACCAAAATGAGTTACCAACCTCTTCAATATTATCTGTGATCCTCGACAGAAGTTTCTAAAGTTTCAAAACCTATTCTTCAACTAGATGTTCTAGCTTGAATTGATTTCTAATCATTATTTTTTTCTTCCATTACAATTTTTGGAATAGAAACCGTTTTCTTTTACCTTTATAACATTACGTTTCTGTAAAGGTTTCGCAATTACTAGCAAATGGTCTGACCCACATTCTGGCCAATGAGATTTTGTTCTGTGATAAGATCTTACATAAATTATAATATTTTACCACTTATGTTGTATCAAGAGATGATCAATTTGATTTTGTGTTTGCAAATCTGGTGATGTCTATGTATATTTATAAATATCCTTATGCTTTAACATAATACTTTAGATTATAAGGCTTTTTCCAAATAGCAGTTTATTAGTTTGATCCCATTAGGATTGATACTACAGTCATGTTTTCTTTACCGACTATGGGTAACAACAAAATTCTTTCTTCTCACCTTTGCATTAGCATCCCCTAAAATTATTTTCATGCAGTTTCAATAAAGCTTATTGTATACTCAATCCAGTTTTATCATAAAATTTGTTTTCAAAATTATCACTGTCTTCGGTAGGACAACGTATGTTTATCAACCAAACCAATGCATCCGCAATATGGCCACCGACATCCTATCACTCAAAGTGGATACAAATCTATTACTAACTAGATAGAACATCGAACTCACCTGGCCAGTGAATCTTTTGCCACAATATCAAAATTGTACCCCTTTATCTCATTTATAACAGATTTTGACCTGCCTGCTGTATTAAAACTCCTTACATTACATCTGTAATTTTTAATTTGCCACATGAATTCCTAAAAAAAATTATAGTGGACGGATGCAAAATGCTCCTTGGCCGTTACACCAAGGGTCTTCATCGAAAGATTTTGTTTAGCGATGAGAAAATGTTTACATTTTAAGAAAAACTGAATTGGCAAAATGATCGTGTGTATGCACACAGCTCTAAAGAAGCTAAGGAAGTCATTGAAAGAGTGGAAAGAGGTCATTGCCCTTCCTCAGTGATGGTTTGGTGAGGAGTTTGCTTTGATGGGACCACGAAGCTCCATTTTTGTGAAAAAGGAGTTAAAACAGGTGCTAAAATCTATCAGGACGATATTTTGGAATCTTTTGTCAAGCCTCTAAATGATACTCAGCTGGAAGTCATTGGATTTTCCAGCAGGATTCCGCTCTAGCTCATAAGGCCAGGTCAACTCAGCAGTGGCTGCAAAAGAACATTCCAGAGTTCATCTCTGCCTCCAATTGGTCCTCAGGAAGCCCTGATCTCAACCCACTAGATTATCGGCTTTGGTTCGAATTGGAGAGGATGGCATGCCACACAGCACACCCTAACTTGAAAAGCCTCAAACAATCTCTGGTCTGAACAGTTAAGCGCTTTCCTCAAGAAGTGCTGCTATTGATAACTGTCCACAGAGATTAAATGACTGTGTCAAGGTAAAAGGGGGACATTTTGAGTAATTTCTTTTTTGTTTTACTCTCTATAGATATATATTTCATTTTCTAATAAAGTATTAGAAAAAATTAATTTTTCTGTTGAAATCTGTATATATTTCCTTGTAAGAATATTTGTGACAGAACTAGGTAAATACATATATTGGATAGATTTGATTAATTGTTTGCTTAAATTTTAAATCAAATTATTTTCTCTTTGAAATAACTTTGGCTGTTTCTTATGTGTATGTGTATATTTTGGAATGTTAAATCCAACTGTCTCAGAATTGCAATATTAAACTACATTGGTAAAGGGGGATGAAATATTGTGATATTAATTAAAATTCAGCATCATTTCTAATTTCTTTGCATGAAAAATCAGAAATGTATCTTACGTTTTATTAATAATAAACTTAAAAACTATAAATACATTTTAAAATAACTTTCTCAATATTTACTAGTGATTTTAATTTTATACGATCCACAGGAAGTTCCTCATATTATATTCCAATAAGAGTCAGCCAACATGTTTGAGCTTCATTTCCCGGTATCCATTTGCTTGATAGAAGCAATCTCTTAGCGAAATCTTTATCCATGTTCTTCTGATACTGCTCCCAAATTCTTAGTAAATACATCAGAATAAGAATGCAGAAAAAGAGCTTTAGAGACATGTTGTATCCCATAATGTGATAGGCTGAGAGTAGTTCTTTCATGTCTTTTTGGTAGTTTTCTAATGCAATGTTCTTAAAATAATAGTTGCAGATGTTTTCCAATGCATTTAACGCTTGTTTTTTAATGCTATTTATAGTTGGAATCTCGGTACAGTTGCCTAACTATCTGTCAAACAAAAATTCTCTCTTTGAGCTTTGCCTCACTTATATGTGGATTTTTTTTTTTTTTTTATATAAGAAAACAACCCCTTCTAGATATTATTTAGATTCCGAATCTGAATGGAGATTATAACTTTCAAGATACTCAGGAATGGGTAATAAGATATCATGGGGCACTGATCGGAAGCAGAGGAATATTGGGGTAATGAATGCTGCACTTGGTTTTGCAAGTAATTCCTTTAGCATTCACCCTGGAAAAAAAACCATCTTTAGATAATAAATATAGTACTTTTCCAGCTATAAATTCGGTTACAGAGCATTTTTATGAAATCTGAGGTTGATTGATATAGCAATTTAAAGGGAATGTGTATGCTATTTTAAGGGGAAGGATTTTCAGGTTTAATACGTTAATTGGATAATTTTTTTAAAAACTTTTTTTATCTTGTTCAAAACAGTCTGTAAACAAAGCAGATTATAAAAATTATAGTTCAAAGAGATTCTTGAAGAATTTGTTATTTGTATAATATTGATTTATTTTTACTTGATCCAATACTAATTATTGAGTTAATAGTTTATATTATTTTGATTTAAATTAAAAGCAGATAAAATGGTGCTAACAGTTTTTAACCTAAAATGTTTCATTGGCGATTTCGGGCTGTTTCCCCCGATTATCCCATGTAAATCCCTATGTTCAGAAGTTTTTCAAGTTACTCATATTTTATATCTAAGTAGAATTTTCCAATATCCACTATTATTCTGTAATTCAGAAATCAGAAGGCAATTAAGATATTAAAAACATTAATTTGTAATGCTGGACCAGATATTAATAAATTATTTAAACAGATGCCATTAATAGTTTAAAAAGAACTCCTGATTACCATGCACAAAGCAGTTGTTGAACTTTCATGAGAAACTGTGTGACGTGAGAGATAACAACGAGAAAAAAATTGAATTTCATTTGATGTTATCATATCCATATAATAAATAAATATATTCCCCAATGAACACAGAATATTTATATTTTAGAATGGAATTTTTTTCCAAATTCCTTCCAAGTTATATAATCTCCTTTCTGTTTGCTCCTTCAGGTGAGTCTTTAAGTGATGTTTGATCCACCTTAAGAGGTAATGAAATCATAAAATGTCCCTCTGAATGAACTTAATTATTTTTCACATGCTATATAATCTAAAGATCTTTTCCATGAAGAAGTTGCAATTTTCTTTTTACTAATACAACAAATACTAACATTTTTATTAAGATTAAGATTAAAAACTTTTTAATTTTTTTTAAGGATATTTTTGAGCTAACTTTTTAAAAACAAAATTTAATTCCAATCTTGAATCTAAGAAAAATCTTCCTGTCAACAATGATGAAAAAATTATTTAACAAGGAGAGAATATTATATAACCACCAATGAAGGGAAATACAGTGGCAGAGCAGGCAGCTGATACTGAAGAATCAGTTAGAGGTGGGAGAGCAATGTCTAAGGAAGAATGATAGATTACTTGCTGGAGACAACCACCATACTGTTCCGCCCCACATCCTCTCTCTCCATGTGAGATAGACCATATGAAAATAAGAATAAACGACCCTTCGCAATCAACTTGTGACTAGTGGATATACACTGCCAACAATTTTGAATTTTCATAATTAAATCTCTCCACCTTTCTACAATATCTAAATAAGAAACATTTAGAATATTCTGGGACAATGTCCTTTGTGAAAAAAAACAAAAATGAAATTTTTTCAGGCCAAAAGACCTATTAAATCAATTACATTAAAAGAAAAAAAAATGTATTCCGGGACATTAAGTCCACTAAGAATAACTACAATAACAATAAAATTACAATTGTCTGACATTAGAAAACAATTAAGAATAAATTAAATTACAAAGTTATCTAAATTTAAAATTAAAATGAAGAAAAGGCACTAGTAGACATATGAAATTATAAATAAATATATGATTTCATATATTTGTACACATAAGCAATATGGATGATATGTAATTATCTGTAAGATAACAGTAAAATGCGGCTGACAGCTCTAAAAACCGAAAGCATTATTTTTAAATATATTCGGAAAATTAATTGCTGAAGAGATGGAAAAATAAATACGTTAGTGGTACAGGTATATATATATATAAAATTGTGCGTTGATCGTTGACCGCAGTGAATGATGAAGAGAATAGTTGGGGTGATCAGTCGAAATAAAAATGGCAAAAATAAATAATAATATTTATTTCAACATTTGCCGATGTTTCAACCTGAAGTTCAGCCCTGATGAAGGCCTGACTTATTATTTTGACTGATTACCCCAACTATCCTTCTCTTCAATATATATATATATATATATATATATATATATATATATATATATATATATATATATATAAAATCATAAAACTATATGAATAAATTATTTTATTGTAGAGTTGAAGAATGAAAATACAAGAGGGTTCAAGTGTCTTCAACAAAATCATGATGACTTTTTTTTTTTGAGATTACAGATCTATTTGTTGTGTTACATACTATTATAAATGTGATTTTATCTCTAATATAATTACAAGTGATCAGAGAAAAAGACAACTTGAATTTTGAAAAACTTGCCTTGAGTACTATTGAATTTCCACACTTGCATTATCAAAGCACAAATTTAAAAAGTAAAATGGAATTTTCATAACTAAGTAATACCTACCCCCTTTGAAATTCCGTAAGGCATCTCTAAGTTCTGGGACAGTTTTCAAACATTGAACAGTAGCATTCATGTAACAAGTATTGCCAAGATTGGCAAGACCTGCTGGTACATTGGACTGGAAAAAAAAAAGAAAGAGTAATTATTATATATATAAATCTTTAATATGTAACCATTACATTGTTTAAAAAGTATATCATTATGTTGACTAAGAAGTTTATAATTATATTTAAAGAGAATTTGGTTGGGGCGTTCAGTCAAAATATAAAGTAAAAATGAATGAGATGGTCCGGGGTGTCGGTCATAAATTGACTAAATAGTGGCAAAACTATTTTATTAAAAGCCAATGTTTCGACCTGACTTGGCAGGTCTTCTTCAGGGAGATGTATTCAGCAAAGAGTTCTAACAGGAGAACTGAGTTCTAAGTGAAACTCTTTGCTGAATACACCTTCCTGAAGAAGACTTGCAAAGTCGGGTCGAAACATTGGCTTTTAATAAAATAGTTTTGCATCTATTTAGTCTATTTATGATCGACAACCCCAGAACATCTCCTTCCTTAATAATGCAACGGTCAACTATTAGATATTCAATAAAGTAAAAATAAATAAATATGTTTATTTTTATCTTTTGAGCTGATGAAGGCCTGAAAGTTAGGCCGAAACGTAGCCACAAAGGAAATAAAAATAAATATATTTATTTATTTTTACTTTGTATTTTGACTGAACACCCCCAACCAACTTCTCTTCAATCATTTACAACAGTCAACCATCTATCCACTATATAATTATATGTATGATATTATAGCAATCTATCAGAGTGGATTCAATCATTGACTTGATTCACTTAGATTTCAGTGCAAAACCCTAAATTAACTGATGGAAATTAAACATGAAGATTAACCACTTTCATCACATTAACTGTAAATACACTATGTACAATGAAATTTCTCCACCATGTACAGGGATGGATATAATGTGATTGTTTGTTGCAGATTGGTTTCTGCTAGGAAAGGATATTGGTCTTTTTATTTACCTCATTTTCTTAGCAAAAATTCAATATTTATGATTCATTTTTCAATATATGAGATTCAAATCTGTTCTTATTTAAAAAAATTCAGCTTAATACAGCAAAGAAAACTTATTTTAATTGAAATTTATTATCCCTCCTTTTTCTTCTATTTTAAGAAATTTACTTGGTCCAATTCCTAACGTTTTGAGTTAAAAGAACCAAAACAACATAAGAATATTGAATTTTAAGTAAAATATGATGAGCAAAGAGGAAGGGTTTTTTATGAAAATCATCGAGGAAGATTCTAAGAGAACAAGATATTGTTAGGGTTCTGTCTAATGACAAACGTCCAAGACAACTTAGCCTATAGCATGAGCAAGCTGGTGCAACCACTTTGGATTGAGAGATCGATTCTAGCCGCCTGTTGTTTTTTAGTGCTAGCACAATTGTTTAACATACTACATTGTTTTTTCTTGGTACACTGGTTAATGAACATTAGTCATCATTATTAATGGCCTGCATGCAGTGTAGTGAGCGCTCACAGATTACAGTAGTTTTAATTTACTACTTTATATTCAGAGTTAGTTATTGTAAAGCATTTTTTTCAGTAGTGTACAAATTTTAGTTAGTTTTAGTTGATTTCTTGTTTTCTTAATTTGTTTCTATATTATTGCATGTGCATTCAGAGGTATCTTTTTATTTTCTAATTTTGTTTTCACCAAACTTTTATTTATTAAAGATTTATTTTGTTTTGTATGTAGTTTTTTTATTGAACGAACCCGCAGAATCCCTAAAATATAAAACTTGGTGGAAAATAACTTAATCCTATTCAAAAGTGGATTTTTATTTTCCACTTCAGAATAGATCAATTATTAGACTGACAATACTATTTTTAAAATTTTCACATTTTCTATGAGTCTGTTGAGAGGAACACTATTAAAAATAAAAATTTTCTGACCACATATGTTGAAAAGGGAGCTAAATTCCTATACTTAAATACTGGGACAATTATAAATTCTCTGTATAGAAGGATGTCTATTGGGAGAAGTTTCCCTGTACTTCCAAAATCCAACGTGCTCAACTGAGTGTCTATAACAGCATTACCAGAGTATTTCATGCTTGGTCATTATTTCATCAATGAATAATTGATTGTTTATTGCGAGCTAAATAACCTTTTTCTAATAAATTGGGTTTGGCATTAAGAAAGTTGATAAAAAAATATAAAAAGTAAAATATAATCCAATATGTATATATATGGTAATGTAAATATTATATAGTGATTTTAAATAATGGCAAGAAGGCAGAGACATCACAAGTTACTATCAAAAATGGACAATGACAGATGGAAGGGGAAACAAGTGCCATATGATAAGGCAGAACGTAGCCAGCCGGCTAGTAAAGAGGATCGAGAGAAGAAAATGTTACTAACAAGTAGTGAGTGAAAATAAAGGAAAATAGAAGATTGTAGAAGTTGAAGACAACAATATAGAGGAGGATCCACTGCAGAACCGGGTGAGTGACATATAAATAGTGACAGTTCGAAAGTGTGCCAACAGTAGAACCTGACAAAGAATGGAAATTCATAAAAATGCTATGTACTATTAATGTATGTCTTTGTATTATATATTTGAGGAATGTGTGTTCGATGTCTCAACCCAACCTGAGAAATAATTATAGTATTAAATAAATATAATTTGGTTCAGAAATTGTTTTGTTAACTTTTCAAAGGAAACGTAACCTTACAGTATATATATATATATGTAATATATATATATATATATATGGAGAATAGGCATAAGAAATGATTTGCCTGATAGCTATACTATCAAAAGCACGAGGCTAAAAACACTTCCTTGGAACCCGAATCGAACCTTCAATTAAAAAATTACACAACTTTAAGCAGAATATAAATATAAATTTTCTGTAACTGGATCAGACAAAAATAAGATTAAATTTTATAATGATTAAAAAACATAACTAAATGATTTTTAAAATGGTAGAAGAGAAGGTAAATTGAATAAAAATGATACTTCATTCAATATAATGAAATAGAGTGCAAACATGAAGGGTATTGCTTGAATGCTAGTATTTTTTTTAGAAAAAATGTTGTCACTTAAATTGTCTTAACAATCCAGAATTAAGTTAAAAAAAATAATGAGGTTAATTAAGATCAACTAAAAAAATAGGAACTTAGTAAATAACTTAAAATTAATAATTAAAATGAATACTCACAGCAGAAGCAAGTTCGGAATCATTCATATCTTCCACAAAACGTGGTTTTACGACTGGTTCAACGGGTAAATCTTCCTCCTTGCTACCCATAAGTAGAACTGTGCAATTCTAATTATATACATACAGAGAGAAATAATTGATAAATCACAAATACTAACATGCAAAACAATAAAATAAATACATTTAATTTTATATTTATACAGTGCAATATCAGTAATTTGGCCTAATTGCTGCAAGGGGGTGTTCGGATTACCAAAAAGAGATGGTTGAGGAAAACTACTTACAAAAAAGATTAAAACTCAATAAATACTTACAACTTTATTAATTACATACATGAAACTCATTTAAAAACACTGACTTTGTATGCCTAATTATTTTTTTGTTTTAGTTTATAGACACCCTCCATTCAGCCTTCCTTCCTCATTTTTTATTTGTTTATTTTTTGGCAGGCTCAAATTACTGGAGAGTTCAGATTGTTAAGTTTGGATTACTGAGATTGCACTGTTATATAATATATAAGTATTTTATAATGAAATGGAAATAATCAACCATAGTTTTATTTTAATAAGAAGTTAGTTAGGGGGAAGAAGAGGCCTGTCAACAGTGGGATAGGTCGGCTATCCAATAAACATTAATCCCACATATTATGTGTACGACTGCTGACTGTACACCACAACTAACTTCTTATATAAGTATTCTAAATTTATATTGAAATATAATATATGAAATACATTTAAAATTAAGACACTGCTTAAAATAATATTAATCATTTGATTGATAATTAACTAATTTATAACTAGAGATAGTTTTTCGTGCAGTGATAAACAGAAAAACATGCAGCATAAAACTCAAAATGTGTAAAATTGTGCAGAGAAAACGCCAAAAAAGTAAAATTATGTACATAACAGGCAAAAATCATAATTTTTGTTTAATTTATAAAATTATTCATTTAATGCTTATTTACTCTTTTGTTAGAGTTACTGCCTTTAAATTGAAGTTAGATATAACGTAAAATAATGTGAGGGAAAATAATTCTAATTTAACAATGAACAAAAAGTAATCTAAATCTAGATGAAAGAAAAGTAACATAAAAAGTTAATCATATATTTAATAATAAAACATGCATCCTTTAATTGATGCTCCAGGTTATAAGTGTAGGCCAATTTAATTTTAAAAAGTGCATTCTGGGTAAAGTCAAAACTCCTTAGTTTTTTTTTAATTTTCAGGCAAATGACACAATACTTTCACATTTGTTTGTTTAGAAACTGGTAAATAATTACATATTATATTACAAAAACAATTCATACATAAGTTGTGGAACCATGCATAACAGAACCCCATGAAAATAAGGAGATTTGACTGTATATTATATATCTGCATTATATTATAATAAAATTAATACGTTACTCCCAATTATACCATTACTTATACAATAAAATGTATGAACTCGAATAGTAATTTTGTTACCTATATCAAACATGTCAAATACGACAACGATAATGAAAGCCAGTAAAGAACTAGGGCTCGAAATAAGCACGGATAAAACAAAATATATGGTAAGCTGCAAAAATGGCGATATTACTGGTGATATCGATATAGATAGTAATATGTTTGAACAGGTAGAAAAGTTTAGGTATCTAGGGTCTACGATAACTAGAGAAAACGAAATTGAAGAAGAGATTAAGATTAGACTGAAGGCGGGAAATGCTAGTTATTTTTCTGTAACAAAACTACTTACCTCGCACCTCTTGTCCCGGAACTTAAAAATTAGAATCTATAAAACCATTATCTTACCTACAGTTCTTTATGGATGCGAAACTTGGCCGCTTACATTAAGGGATGAGCAGCGTCTTAAGCTTTTAAGTATTGCGTAGAATATTCGGACCGAAGAAGGATGAGTTAACCGGAGATTTCAGACGGTTACACAACGTCGAATTGCGTGAACTGTATCCAGGTAATATAATTGAGGTAATTTCAACGCGGTGAATCAAATGGGCTTGTAAAATTGTTGGGCTTAGTAACGAGAGAATTCCTAAAAGGTTAATATTTGCTGTGTCGAATGGTAAACGTCCCAGGAAGCGAAGGTGGAAAGATTGCATTAAAGCTGATCTGAAGGGACTGGGTTTGGACGGCGAACGGTGGAGGGAGATGTGTAATAAGTGGTGGTGTCGGCATCGAACCGTCGGGTTCGCTAAGCCTTTTATTATTATTATTATTATTAACAAACATGTCGAGTCTAATCCCAGAAAGATAACTTGAAAATAATATTAAAATAAAGAACAAAAAATTTAAAACCGATGTTCAGCCACATGCTAATTCCTAACCTTCAGCGTTCCACATAGTGACATGCCGACCATGGGGGTTGAACACTCCTGTTATTAACCATAAATCTAATATGGAAATAAAAAATTAATATTTACTTACATACCTATGGATATGTTATAAAGGAAGCATTTAATTTTATGGAATTAAACTTGCCCTTAGAGAGCAAAAGATGCAATATCATGTAATAAAAACCAAAAATGTGCAATGTAGCCTGGAAAAGCCAAAACGAGCAATATCAAATTGCAATGTTATTCTACAAATTGTGAATAAGATAGATAATCGAATTTGAAGTTTTCAGACACAAGCAAATAAAATTTGCAATAACAGGGAAATTCATTCCACATTTATATCATAATACTGTGATGGGTTATGGCCTATGATCATGAGGGTTTGACATGCTAACATTAATTAGTTTGTATTAATTTCTGGTTTTGCATTTAAAACAAGAGTCAGACTTCAGGGAGGAGAGGAGGGAGGGAGAAAATTATGTTTCATAACTTTCAGATACAAAAACAGTAAAGGTTCAGTTAATAATCACAGATTTAATATAAATAGTAACACTGTTATTGAAAAAGTAAAAAAACATATAAAAACAATGATTAATGTAACACTAAAAGACCTGGAGAATCAATTAATATGTCTAAAAGAAGCTTTTGAAAAGTTAAAAGATTTAGCATGTTCTAATGATATTATGGTATAAAGAAGTAAACTACTACATAAAAAGAGTATATGCAGACCTAGCAATTTGATTTCTATTACACTTTTTTTAAATATATAATTTAATGAGAATATGACTTACAAGTTTCTATTTTAATGTATTCATTAAAAAACAAAACAAAACCAAGACTGTTTACTCACTCACGAATGAAAGACATAATAACGGAATGTTTTATGATTTTGAAAAATTTAGAATGACCAAGCCTCACAAAAGGTCTAATTATATAACTGTGAACAACATAGTCCAAAAACAAAACAGTGTGACTCCGAAATTATGTATTGTAATATACACCTTTATTTGAAGTTGGTAAAAATGGTTTTATAAATTAATGTTGAACAGTTAAAAGGCAAGCTAATCTAGTTCTGCTAATGTCAGGGGATGTTTAAATTTGAAAATATATTCACTAGTTCAGGGAAAAGAAAATGGCTGGTCTGCAGTTTTTCCAAAAAGGAAAATCTCAAAGAGGGGAGGGACAAAGGATTTTTGTTTTGACAGTCAGTTGTTGTTTGGCAGAGAGACTGGTTGTTTGGAATCACAAGAGAGAGGATCTCTCAGGGAGATTGAGTTGATTAGATGGAAGTGTCACCATTATGAAAGGTATGTTTGGCAGAACATTGTTATATAGAAGGATATTTTAAAGAAAACTCAAAATCCTGTATTTTCCGGACAACCCAATATTTAGGAAAAGTAGTCTCTTAGTTAACGGTTGTGCAAGGAGGTGATTTCATTGATATCACACTCAACCGCCAGGTTTTTCCCTCTTCATTCTTTTAAATAATTAATTAAGGGTACCTTTATAGAAGCTGGGTGTACCCCAAAAGTGTCTCCCAACCCTAGGGTCAACCTAAGGTTCATGAAACAGAGTAAATAATTTTTCTGCCATGAGCATTGGAAGATCAGTGCCCAACCACTGAGCTGCCCCACTCCCTTGAAAGGAATAATGCATATTAACCCCTTTTTGACCTGTCATATACCTATTAGTATTCCAGGCTAAAAAATATTTTTTTAATCTGCAGTTTTCATGTAAAATTCAAGGTGAACCATTTTTTTTTTTTTTTTATTGCCTGTTTATTTTAATATAGTACATCAAGGAGAAAACAAAAAAAGAGTGCATATTCAAATAATTATTATCACAGATACTGAGAGAAAAAAACTTGAGTAAACTTAAATAAAAATGTTATTAATATCATGATGATAAAACTAAAATAGCTAGCAAATATACAGTTATAAGGAAAACAAATGTATCTAGCATAAAGTAATTTAAGGAACTAGTGAAAATACAAATAGAATTTTAAGCCTTAAAATCAGAATTGGTAAAATGAAATCTAACCCAAAACGGAAAATAAAATAATCTATAGATTATTATTTTCTTCAATATAATAAAATGTATGTAGTATTAATTAGATACATATTGAAAAAGAACTCTTACATTTTCAACTTTAATACCATTCCACGTGTCATCTTTCAGTGATGAGCCTTTGAACATTACTTTTTGTCGCTCTGGAATAACTCCCGTAAGGGCATAGAGTTGCGCTTTAAACACCAAAGGATCTTCATCAGTATTGACCTCTACATCCTTGAAGGTCTCCCGACCCCACTTAATATTAACTGTAATATAATATTGTATTTTTATTATTCAAGCATTAATATATTTATTAACTAGGATCAACCTAGTAGTAATATTATTGTAAACTTAGGAATAGATTATATACATCAACATAATGTTATTAATGAATAAATGAATAAAAAACAAGTGAAACATAAATGAGCTATAATAATTATTAATAAATACCAAAGGTAAATCTATCTTAAAATGGTTCATTTCACTGAATTCAAAAAAGAAATAAATAGAATAATTAATATGGATATTTAGCAGTGTATGTATTTATACAAATGCAGCTATACCTAGATGCCTATGTATAGTACATATTATTATAATTTAGCAAATTTCGTTATTTATATTTAAGCATTCCTAATGGAAAATAGCTACCACACAACATAAATTAACTAGGGTAAAGAAATAAGGCATGGATAATTGAATGATATTATTAATGAACAGTTTATTTGATAGTTAGCAAAGTAAAGAACGATTGCTCATCACAATCAGCATCTCTGACCCTTCCCCTCTCCTGTGGTGTCCCTCAAGGTTCCTCTCTATCTCCTACTCTGTTTGCTATTTACATTAATGACCTTCCCCTCATGATCCATCACTCCCAATACCATATCTATGCAGATGATTTCCAAATATACCTATCCTTCCCACCCTCCAACCTATTATCTGCCACAGAGAAACTACAAGAAGACTTGGATAGGATTTGTGACTGGAAGAGAACTAACAAGTTTAAGTTGAATGGGAGAAAGACGAAGGTAATCTTAATAGGCTCCAATCACCTCCTTAAAACTGTTCTAATATTCCAACTCAGTTCCTGCATGATAATCCCATCAAATTTTAACCCACCCTCAAAAACCTTCGATCAAACACTTTCCTGGAAAAACCATGTATCCAATATTTCCCGCCATACCATTTCCACTCTAAAACATCTAAATTATTCTCGTCACCTATTTCCATTTGAAACCCGTAGGCTCCTAGTCACTTCTTTAATTTTTCCCCACTTTGACTATTGCTGTTTGATATGTGGGGGTGTCTCTGGGGATCTCGAGGCGAAACTAAAACATTTAATAAATTGCATTGTACGATTCATCTTCAGGATACCAAGGGACGCCTCTGTATCCCATTTTTATGCAGAGTTGAAGTGGCTTTATCCTTCCTACTGTCGTAAATATTTCCTGGCATCTTTCCTCTTTCAAATTATTCAATCTCTGAGTTCCTTCAATTCAAATCCTCTGTTCGTTCCCAGTCTGAAAGAGAATATTTGTAATGAAGGAACCAAAGGGATACGAGAGCACGCCCGAAGATTAGAACAGGCTTCCATAGTAACATGAGCTTAATATAATATGGACTCCAAAAATATTATGTACACATACATATGCAGTTTTCCTAAATGTTTTCGTTGGTATTATTTATTATTCAATTGTATAGATTACAGCAATATAAATATTAAAATTTTTGTATATAAGGGTACTTGAATAAATAAAAATATCCACAATTGAATATGAATCAATATAGCGTTTATAAGTTTTACTTTCATTTCCCCTTTGTCTGAAAATACTTATTTCTACTAAGAATAGGGTGGTATGTGAAAGTTTGTGATGCGAGCACCACACCAGATTTTCCCTGATGTAGTGTTTCACAGCTGGTAATACATTATTGTCATTTGTATTCTGTTAAAAAGGAAAAAGTTAATTTCTCTTGAGCAATATTCCAAGGTAAGTGTGATCGTTTAAGGTAAGTGTAATCAGTGAACTACCACTTCTTAGTCAACCATAATTTACTTTTTCTTGGATTAAGATCTTACCCATCCTTTTCCAACTGAGCCTGGCTATTCAATAACAGCTTGAGATATATTATCATTTATCAGCCATGAGGATAATATTGTCTGCAAAAACCAAAACTTGAGCTGGAATTGTCTTAATGTACCAGTTTCCAATGGTTCTCCATGTCATCCTCTGTTTACATATTTCTACAATATTATCCATAAAAGGGGAGGTCTAAAGCCGGGTATCCACTATGTTTGCTAACCAACGGTGCTCAGTAACTCTGTTTATGGGGTCAGGGTTTACAAACTCAGGCGCACTATAAGTGCTTTCCTGTTCCTTTACTCTTCTTAATTTTCATTTTATCTCTTCGAAATCCTGACAGAAGAACAAACATATTATTTTTACAAACCCCAGTAGGTTATAGTATAGCACTTCTAATGTCCATCCATGCATCTTATTTCGATTTTTTTCTTCTAACATTTGAATCTCTAGGATTCCACAATATTGGATATTTTTGGTATAATTCGATAAGCAAAGACATTTATTATAAGTCCATTCTATTGCTGATTGTTACACAAAAGACAAACATTGACTGAATGTCGTCGAGAAAACTTGCTCTACTTCCCTTTGAGTTCAGGCAAAAACAGACAGCTCTAGAATATTCTCAACTTCTAAGTACTGGATTGAAATTGTTTGCCATCAGCCAATTATATGTAGGCAAGAAACAGTTAGTGACAAATTGCAAGCTGCAGCACCAACACTTACTATAAATCAGTAAACAGCATGCCTACAGCTTTTGGAGTACTTTCCATTGAATGGAAGACAGTAATCTTTTCAGATGATTCAAATTTCACAATATATCTTTCAGATCAACATTTAAGATTTAAACGAAAGCTCGATGACCATTACTGTAACCATTATTACATAATAAGAGAAATATGGAGGTAGAATATTGGAAAAAAATGTAGATTATTTTGAAAAGAATACAAATATTTTTAACATACCTTCCCTAAACTCAAAATATGTACATATAATTAAACCAGAGATTATCCATTTTATATTTATTATAGAAGACGGTTATATGTAAGATAATGCGAATTCATATCAGCAGCTGTTACATGATATTTCTTAACATCGAGGGCCCCTAAATACTCCCTAAACAATATTAATCTAAACCAGGGTTCTCCAAATAATGGTGTACAAAAGTTTCTTTGATTACATGGTAAAGTTTGTAAAATTACTTTAAAAATATGACATTGAACACAATGTTAAATCACTCGATTACATGGTTACTATAGCATTCGTTGGATGAGATGTTTCTCTTAAAAATTTCATTTCATAACCGAAGTGTTATTAATGAGACTTTTTCTATTAATCACAATCCATGGACCATTCGACTTAGTGGAGGTCTCAATATGGTCTAGGAACTTAGTGAAAGTCTCAATGTGGCCCACGGGCCAAAAAGTTCAGAGACCCCTTATCTAGACTATAAATAGTATTCCTCATTAAAATCTTGTCTAAATTATTCCAAGAACTTTCAGAGTTTGGGATATTTTTCCATCTTTGAAGTGAGAAGTAATAAGCTATAACCAACCAAAAACTAGAATTTTTTAACTAATGATTTTGTACAGTAAGAAAGTTGATACCTCATTGTAAACCAATATACCAATGTTATAACAAGAACACACCTAGCCAAAAATTCAAGAGGTACAGAAGCTAGGCAAATAACTGTCACAGATCAATTTGAAATGTTGACTGATATACAGGTTGTTTCAGGACTAAGTGGCCAAACTGAAAATATGAATTAAGGACCTCGAAACAAGAAAAAAATTTCCTCTAAAGGTATGTCCGCAAATGCTTCGATTAGGAGATATTCACACCTTAAGATTTTCGTTGTTATGAATTATTTACGTTATATTAAGTAAATAAAACTTATTAATTAAACGTAAACATTAAATTCATATTAAATGTTGTTTAAAGTGATTTCCTTGAGCATTAAGACAGGCTCGGCATTTTTCTTAACAGCACAGTGGCAGAATGGCACTGGATATGTGTTATTGTTTCACAAGATTCAATTATCCTTCTTCATAAGGAATTAGTGTCATTGACCGGACTTGCATAGACTTTTTGTTTAATGTCACCCCAAACAAAATAATCTGTATACAAACTCCATATCGGCATATTCACCATTACTATAAATGGAAGGCAGAATGATGAGTACTCTGCGAAAGCCTATTACAAACTGATAAATGTTATTGAGAGTTTCCAATGTTAATTCCAAATAGTATTAATTCTTATGTTGTCAAAGGTTTCCATACAGTTAGAGATAAAAGGGCATATTAGTATTCTATCTAATCCATGCCCTAAACAAAGTGTTTGCAGATATACCTTCACTTTGAACAACATATAATATGAATGCTAATGTTTACATTGGATTAATAAAGTAGTTAGAACAAATAAATAGGTTTCATTCATTTCATATAACCTAAATAATTCATAGCAACGAAAATCTTTAGGTGTGAATATGTCCTAAACAAAGCGTTTGTGGGCATACCTTCAGAGGAAATGTGTATCTTGTTTTGAGATCCTTAGTTCATTTTTGCAGTTTGGCCACTTAACCCTGAAACAACCTGTATATACAATGGCTCAACAATACATGCTACATAAAGGTTAATTTATTAAAATGAAACACAAAGACCTTAGATTGTGTTAAAGCTATTCAAGGTTGCTTGAATTACACAATTATCAGATTAAATGGGAAATATAACTATGTCAACAACTTGGAAATATTACACTCCTCAGAAAATATCAACAAGAGACTAAAGTTTGATGATAAACAATTAATGAATATTTTAGATTGAAAATAATTATCATAAATAGAGTATTAGTTGTAATTATATAGTGCACTAAAATATACACTCTAAATCTAATAGATAATAAGTTAAGAGCTCACATAACAATGCTTAGATAAAATTGATCAATTTGTACAAATTTAAATACCTTACAACAGTTATTCTGAAAACATTTTCATGATTACCTATATACTTTATAGCTTTAAACAATGCATATGCATAATGTATATCATCTATAATATTATAAAAATTAAAACCAATCATTTGTTGACAAAAACTACAACTAACAGAGTAAAATAAACAAAAATGCATGTCATAGAGCATCAAGTATTCATTTACATAATTTAATAAGGGAAATGATTAAATTATTAATCACTGATATTAATTAATAACCTCTATTGTTAAATTAAAAATTTCGTTATGATTTGAAAGGAAATTAAATCAAGATTTAAAAAATAATTACCTTTGAATAAAGGCATTAGCTTACAATTTGACTCAACTAAATCATCGAACGACCAACATCTGTGCAGAGAAATAAAAAACAACAAAAAGCTTAGCAATTGTGGTGGCTCTGCAGGCCTTTGAAAGAACTTTGCTTCATGACGTCACATCATACCTAATTTCAGTGAAATACATCAACTAATGTTCCGCCATACGTAAAGCCCACCGAACACGGTCGATATAATCGAACATTATATACATATTGCAAATATTAATATAATTGTTACAATATATACCTGAGACGCTCAACATATTCGATATTGACCGAGTTAGAGACCCTTTAAGCCAAGCATAGACTCAGTACACAAACATTTTGGACCTAATAAAAAATATCAGCATGGAATGTGCATGCATTAGATCCAATATACCACCGTACTGCGAATTCCCAGACGCGGGATAGACGTATGATATGCTTGATATAGAATCAATATGCAACAGGCCTATAAAAGGTTACCCTATTTCAAGTATCATTAGAATTACCTCATACCAAATGTCACCTGCGGTCTAATGTGTGGATATTTCATTACTAATATTTCACGCCCGTTCAGTCTTACTCTGTGATTTAGTGAAGATCGACTGTTACCGAGGCCGTTGATATCTGGAACTTGGTTATATAGTTTCAATTGATCTGGAAATGCAATTGTGTTTTTCCCTTCCATGCAAAATAAATCCGAATGAAAAGTGATCAAAAACGACAATATAACAAATATTTTGTTGAAATAACAAGTATGGGGTTTCCGGTACAATGATATCCGGAAATATGAGATCTTATGGTGTGTTCAGACATTTCACAAATTATAAGAACCACAATTTTCTAACTTAATTTATAATGACATTATTCCTAAACCAAACTATCTATTTTATTTCTCTTGATACCGACAGGAGAAGGAAAATATCAAAAAAATAAACAATAACACTAGCATAGTGGAATAACCATTTATATACTTGTTTGTTATATGTTTTGTAAAATGTCTAATCGCACCCTTAGAGTTTAAAATGTTGCAAAGATTTACTATTATTCGACAACAGAATGCATTCCAATTTTCATTGCAACCGACCATAAAGGAACCGTATTATACCACTTATAGTTTCTTGTAAATTTTTTTCTTTTTTCTTGTCCTTATTGGTTTTTAAAAGAACTACAGACTAAACGGGTGAACTAAATGTCTTGAAAATGGCATACTGTGTATTTTTAACTGTTAAAGTATTATTCAGCCAAAAATGAATGAATGAACAGTATTATAGAAATGGTTTTGTTTAATTATGTTATTTTATTTTCACATGTTTGTATTGTATATATTTGTATGTATTTAGTGGTTTTGTTCTATTTTTCATCCAATATTTTTATTTTAATGAGCATTGTAAATATTTAATTTGATTTTATGGCCACACACTCATTTCCTCTGTATCCTTAATTTGTCCTAAAGGGACAAAAGTCCCAGGATAATAAAAATATATTTTCATTTATTATTTGAACTTTTTTTTTCTGTTGCTGTACAGACCAAGTAGATACTTTACTGCCTTGAAAAGCCTTCTCTACATCAGTTTATTTTGCTGTCTGTTATCTGCACGGAGCTCTACAACATGTTTGTTGATTCGATCAACCGATTCATCTTGGCCTTCCACGTGGTTTCCTGCTTCCTCCTGAGGCATTCATTTGCTATGTTTTTATCCCCACAAAAGGGATGACATTAAAGTTACTACGTTCTGGGGTGTTTAAATTTATTCGGGATGCCACTGGATAATTATTAGTGATAATTACCCAGAATTATTTAATAATAAAAAATTAGTAAAATAAATTTGGATCTATAATATATTTCTTTGAGTCAGGATTAATTAATTGGATTTATTTTCTCAAAGGCTGATTCGTGTTTATCATGCTTCTTAATTACCAACATTACCTGTGATCATCATGATATAAATAGGTGACAGCATTAAAACAACTTTTACTAAAAAAAATTAATTTTATTTATATGTTTAATAAAGAATTATATATACAAATTATATTTACAAGGAACTAAATACATGATTAAATGAATTTAATAATTAATTGTGAAAGTATGATTTCAGATGGACTGTTTTGAAAGTTATATTGCCATGAAATATTCTAACATTGGTAAATTTATTGTTGGGAATAAAACTTATCTATTGTATATGAAGTGGTGTGGTTGGTAGATTTCATCGCTGCATCTGCCGATCCGGGATCATCTCGTCATGGTTCAAATCTCTGCTAGGATCATCATGGTCTATGTAGGGCCAAGACATCAGTCCCTAAGCCGGAAGAAAACAGAAGACACATCCTCAAGGACGGAACTCAACATAAGACCTATCCTGAAGGCCGGACATCAACATAAGCTCTATCCTCAAGGCCGGACATCCACATAAGACCCATTTTCTTGCTTCTAGGTAGATTTTAGTTTCACGCTAGTTAATTAAATAGTGTGCCCGCTACAGGTCCATGTCCTCTTAGATCCCGGTTTCTTCTTGATTGAGAAGCTGCTAAGCTTCTGTCTATGATGGTTAATGATGCCATAACCGTTTTAAACTGTCTGTATATTAAGCCCATTGATGAAATCTTGGACCAACATTGAATCCCTTAAAAGTTTGTCTAAGGACTGCAATTTCATATCTGTTATTGCGAGATCAACAGAGACGAATTTGTAAGATACGCATTCATAGACGTGTTATTATCATCTCGTGCACGTCAGAGATTATTGGAAAACTGCTCATTAACTCTAGAAGAAGCATTTAGTCAAGCTAGAGCTCTGAAACTCGCGGAACATCAGTCCCAACAATATTTGGCTCCATCCACCATTAATGCTGGATAATAATCATAATAATAATAATAATAATAATCAAGATGACTATGGATAATGCTAGGTGCACTGTTCGGGTCCAATCGGACCTGTCACCTGGATTTGTTTCCACGCGAGGAATTAGGCAGGGGGGGGGGTGTGCTTGCCTTCCTATTGTTTAACCTGGCCCTGGAGAAGGTGATACGTGACTCGGGGATCCAGACTACCGACACGTTCTTTAATAGATTAACGCAAATACTGGGATTTGCTGACTATCTAGATCTGATGGCACGTTCCTTCGAGTCTCTTAAGAGTGAATTTTTAAGGTTGGCTGAAGTGGCAGAAGCTTTGGGAATGAGTGTAGACCAGGAAAAGACAATGTATATGCGAGCAGGACCTGAAACCGAGACCGCAGTACGAGTACCGGTAGTTATGGACCCATTTACGTTCCACAATGTTGACCAGTTTAACTACTGGGAGACATTGTAAGCTGTGGTAATAGAATATCCCCGGAGGTCATCCAGTGAATAATTTTTTTTTTTTTTAACTTTTATTGAGTATTAATACAGTCTGCCACACTGAAGGGCATTGGTACTAGGGCTATTGTATTCATTCACACAATATGTACATAAGAAAGAAGAAAAAAAAAAAGGTATATATATATATATATATATATATAAATAAAAAGATAAAGTAATATACAAGATAATTAAAACAACAGATCAGCCGAGTAATAACAAAACAAATAAAACACATTCACACCAATGTACAATATTTACATTGGCCCAGGAGACTCCGAATCAAGCTTTGTCCCCCAACTGTGGAAGCCAAAGCAGGACTCCAGGAGATCCCAGTGCTTCTCTCCCAGCCGCATCACTGGTATTGTAAGCCAGTGGAGGCTGATGGAGGGCACTAGAGCAACAGACGCTCAGGACATGAGTGAAGAATCTGGCCAGTGCCAGTACTCCAATATATACATTTTTACAAAAGGTCGCGGGGTCACTGCCGTTTTAACATCCGAGGAGGATTGTAGGGATGACTGGAGGTAGATAGAGACTGTGCTACAGGATCAGGATGATGAGTGAGATTCTGGTGAAATTTGGAAAATTTGTCTGGGATTAGGTCAAGTACAAATGGGATATTAAGGTCATTGTATAGGGTTTTATTGGTTACATAAAAGGGAGCATTGACTATGGTCCGGAGAACTTTAGACTGGAAGGATTGCATGCGTTTGATGTCGGAAAGTTTTGGTGTCCCCTACAGTTCGAGTCCGTTGGTCCAGATAGGTTTCAGGATTGTCTTGTAGATTAATAGTTTGTTCTCAACTGAAAGTTGAGATTTTTTATTGAGTAGTCTATATAGTTGGCCATATCGTCGGTTAAGCTGTTATCTTTTAAGTCTGGTATGTGGGTTCCATGTTAGTCTTTTATCTAAAAGGAAGCCAAGGTACCGAACTGTGGTATGGAGTGGGGAAGAGGGGAAGTGGTATGGAGTTGAAATAAACTGGTGGACACGACTTGCGCCGAAGGGTGAAAGTGGTGTGTTTGGATTTAGATTCATTTACTTGGATGGCCACTTATTACACCAGTGTTCAATAAGAGAGAGGTGACTATGTTGCTTAAAGGATGCTGTTTCGGGATCTGAATTAGAAGATAGGATGGCCGTGTCATCAGCGAATGTTGCCAGGAGAGTTTCAGGATGAGTAGGAATATCAGCGGCAAATAGAATGTAAAGGATAGGACCCAAGACGCTCCCTTGAGCAACTCCTGCCTGAATTGAATAACACTTGGAAAATTCAGTTCCACAGCGGACTTGAAAGGAGCGGTTAGAGAGATAGGATCGAAGTACCAGATATAAGCACTGAGGTAGATAGGTTTTAAGCTTGAAGAGCAATCCGGTGTGCCATACCCGGTCAAATGCTTGCGCAATGTCCAGAAATGTACCCGAGCAATATTGCTTGCTTTCTAGGGCTGAGGATATATGGTCAACAACTCGGAGGCCTTGTTGGACAGTGGAATGTTGGGAACGAAATCCGAATTGGTGGGTAGGAAGGTTTTGGAATTCTATAATGGGTAGGATACGTTTCAGTAGAATCTTTTCAAAGATTTTTGATAGGATGGGAAGTAGGCTTATTGGTCTATAGGAAGTTGTGTTATTAGAAGGTTTACTTGGTTTCAGAAAAAGGATGATGACAGAATGTTTCCATAAGAGAGGAAAGTGGGTAGTTCGTAGGATACAATTGTATATATAAGTGAGGAATATGATTGCCGAAGGATATGCGGGATTAGAAGGTCGTATCAAGGAGATTTACGGGGAGATAGTTTTTGTAAATGATGTTTGACCTCAGAAGGATTAA